GACATTGGTCAATGTAAGACATGAAAATAATAATAATTTATAAATTATCAAGGGTTTGGGAGGGAGAGTGGGGGAGGGAGGGGGAAAATGAGCTGATACCAAGGCCTCAAGTAGAAAAAAAATGTTTTCAGGATGATGATGGCAACAAATGTACAAATGTGCTTGACATAATGGGTATATGTATGGATTGTGATAAGAGTTGTATGAGCCCCCAGTAAAATGATTTTTTTTAAAAGAGTTGTGCAATCATGACCACAATTTTAGGATATTTAATTTGTTTACATATTCGTTGCTAGTCAAATATTAATAGTGTATGTGGCCACTGTTGTCTAACAGTTAGTAGTAAACAAGGGTCAAGCAGTGGTACTGTAAAGGCGTGGAAGCTTTTTCTTTGACAGGAAGGAACATACCTGGAAGACAGAATGTCTGTGGTCAGAATAGCCGAACACCTGTGATCTGATTTTTAAGTATCATAAACAGCAGATGGGAACTGTAGCCACAATAAAAAATGTCCTCCTTTGAGTTCATTTGGAATTATAATTACAAAGGTCTGCTTGGTGTCTTTCAGGACGATACCTGGCTGCTTGCTGATGGACCTGGGGAAGGCGTTGGCACACAGAAGCAGTACATTCTGCATTATCTGTTCTTTGCAAACATTATTCTCCCTTGTACAATGTCTGTTCAGCACAGGTGTATTGAGAGCAAACTGCACATATTGCATTGCACTTTCAAAGTCAGTCATTGGAAGAAATAGCAGTGAGGTGATTTTCAGTGCTATACCTTATCAACTGCAATATTCAGGAAGCACATTTATTCTCACTTAATGAAGTCTTAATAGTGAAATTTAAACTAATCTTTATTGTCTATGTTGTGAAAGGGGTTGATGGTAGAAACATCAGGTCTCAAATTTCGAAAGAGCGACCCCCCCAAATAATTTCGCTTTCAATATTAGAGTCAGAGATAGCTTAAGTTTGATCTTAGAGGGAGAGATACAAGCAGAACATGAAGTTTTGTAAGTTTTGAATAATGTTCATTCAGAATACTCAATCAAATTGAGGAATGTGCCATAAATCATCAGCCAGGAGCCCTCATATGCAAAAAATTATCATTTGATTCTCATATTAAAATATTAATAAAGTGTAAATGGTGTTTTATATAATTTTTTAATCCTCAAGTGCAATGTGTTTTAAAATAAACTTGCAAAAGACAGCAGAGATACTTACTCCTGCAGTTAGTTAATGTTATAGAAGTTATGATTGTTTTGATGAATTAATGCTATAGAGTTAATTTATTTTTATATGGATTGCATAATGTGTGCCTTCTAAAACAATAACAAGCCCAGCACCGTGCCTGCCGTTTGTGTGGATGAGTGTGCCTCATGTGCTTTCTCAGCTGCGTGCTCCCTCAGAACCGGTGGTGAGCAAGCAGTTGGACAAGAGTTGCAATTTTAGTAAGTATCTTTGACTGCAGTTGGGAAGGAAATTCAAAGTAACTAAAGAAACAACTTATGCCTAAGATTTCCGGCTCTTTTCTGCAATGAAACATTGTAGCCACTTAGAAAACTATGCATAATGGTAGATATTTAAAGGGGGGAAATTGAACTTCAAATATTTGATCTATGTGAATTTTTAAACTGAAACTGAAACTGAAACACTATGATCGTCAATGGCAGTTGGTATTCACTCGGTGAAACGTTTCTGCAGCTGTTTCTCATTGCTAACGTACCTGATTGCAGTTTAGAGCCAGTGAGTTCTGATAACGGGGAGGAGTGCTGCCATTTGTTTTGTGTTCAGCATTTGGAAACGTTATCAATTTGCACAGTGTTGGGGTGCCACCTGTTAGAAATAGAGAACGTATTTGATGTGTTTTGGGAAAGCATTTTTAAACTACTAATGTCAAATAGTAAAAAAAAAAATCTAACTTTATAACAAATCCTGGTTAATTTCAGAAAGGAAATATTTTGTACAAACTTCTATGATTTACAAATGAAAATTTTATTTACAGTGATAAGTGTCAGTGCCCTTCATTTTGTGTAGTAGAAGTGATAAGTTGTGCTACATATGATTGATTATTTATACAAAACCACTAATAGTTCTGCAAAAAATAAAACCCCTTTCACTAAACATTCATATGTAAAATCTTAGTATACTAAATACAGCAGAAAATCTATCCCATAGCAATAAATAACACAATTTGTGCTTTTTAAAAACATATATTCAGTTTTAGCCCAATTCTAAATTTAGATTTGACTGAAGCAACACATAAGGCAATTTGCTAGCATGTTAATCATTACTGATAGCGAGCAAAACTAGAATTTCTAACACGTTGTCCTTTGTAAAATACCAGTTACTGTCATTTACTGGAAAGGTAACTGTAATCTGCTTTGCAATCAAACTGCTTTTATTGCGCAGTTAACATTGTATTACTGGAGTCCAGATAGTATACTCACCATGTTTGTTTTTAATCAAGTCTTTCCTACAAATGTACAAATTAGTGAAATGGTTAAACTTCTGCACTTTCTTAACCACAGTTTTTATACCAAGTGTTGATGCATAGATTTTTTTCTATTGGGTGCAGGTTACAAATTTGAAGCCATATAAGTTTATATTGATTGTTTTGCTTTGTTTTTCCTATAAAAAGAAATCCACTAATGGTGAAAAACAGACCAGTAGATTTTCAATGGGAGATGTATATAGCAAGCTGGTTCTTGCTTATGTATAGTGATACACTTTGTAGTTTCTCTTAACCACGAATTTGTAAACACAGAACTCTAACAATGTGAGTTTTTAAGGATTGTTATTTACTACTTTGGATTGTAATTAGAACATTGCAAATCTATCTTACAAAATTTTGTAAATATTTTTGATTTTTTCATAAAATGTAAATTTTACATCAAAGTTGTACCCTTAATAAACATGTAATATATAATTTAGCACTTGGTTTGTGTGTCTCTCTATCCCTGGGGAGGAAGTACTAGTCATGCCACAGATGCTAGGGCAGCACAGCCTGCCAAGAGAGGAACGGCAGGTGGAACTGTTCTTTTCAATGTCGACTGATTGTACCCGAAAACTGCAGTGGAAGATGATCCCCAAATACAGAAATTCCTTAAAAAGATTTTTTATATGTGTTTTAAGATATATTTAACTGGCTGTTATGCTTTCATGAAGACTCCTCCCGACCAGTGGCTTGGAAACATATCTTACAATTCTAAAATCATAGTATTCCAAAGAAACCATTAAGAACAAGATATCCTCCCTCCACCCTCAAAAAAACACATGAAAGGAAACCAAAAAAGAAGATGAAAGAATGAGTGATTAATCTTAAGTGCAGACACTTCTGTAAAGTCCGTCTCAGAACGAGGAGCGCTTTGGGGACTGTCGGGGCTGGGCAACCAGGGGAAAGAGTATGTACGGTAGTACTCATAACTTCATACCCCGTGCCCGTCTCTGATTCCCCTTCGAGCGATCCCAAGGTCTCAGAGGCTTAGCAGGAGTAGGTTCACACCCCAGCACTTCCTTCCAGGCTTGGGAGGAGCAGCGCTGCGCAGACTGTTTCAGGGTTCTGGACTCCCTGCATTTTCTGACTCTGCCCAGAAGCTTCTCCATCTGGCTGTCAAAGAGGGGAAAGATCAAAAATTAAATGGAGTTTTTATGGATTAGGCTCAGAATTGGCACCATCACTTTTGCAACATTCCATTAGCCACAACTTGATTTCTGTCTCCAGCTAACTGCAGAGGAAATGGCTTGGTTGTGTATTTAGGAGGAAAAGGAAACAGGGTTTTGATTAGCACAATTTTCTCTGCCAGGAAATGCTGGGTGGTGCAGATAGAACGTAGTCAGCTGCTAACTGGAGGGTTGGCGGTTCAAACCCAGCACCAGGTGCCTTGGGTGGGAAAATCCTAGCAGTCTGCTTTGAGGAGGTCAGCCAGGAAAGCCTGGATGTGTGCTGCTGTGCAGCACAGGAGGCAGCCCTGAGTGTGCTCTTCCTGGCAGTGCTGGACAGCATCTTTTCTTTCTTTCTTTAAAAAATCATTTTATTAGGGGCTTATACAACTCTTACCACAGTCCATACATACTTCAATTGTGTAAAGCACATCTGTACATTCATTGCCCTCATCATTCTCAAAACATTTCCTCTCCATGTAAGCCCCCGGCATCAGCTCATTTTTTCCCCTCTTTCCCCACTACCCCCTCCCTCACAAACTCTTGATAATTTATAAATTATTTTGTTATATCTTGCACTGTCCGACGTCTCCCTTCACCCACTTTTCTGTTGTCCATCCCCCAGGGGGGAGATTATATGTAGATCCTTGTAATTGGTTCCCCCTTTCCACCCCACTTTCCCTCTACCTTCCCAGTATCGACACTCTCAGCACTGGTCCTGAAGGGATCATCTGTCCTGGATTCCCTGTGTGGGCAGCATCTTTTCACGGGCCTGTCGGCCACTGCTCGAGCTTTGGTGGAATGAATATTCGTTTACCTCTTTTAAAAATTTTACTGTCTTTATTTGGTTGTTACCTTGTACAAGTTATATATACATCGATACGTTATATAGATGTATATAATTTCTCCCTGTATATATATTAAACCCTTACTCAAGTGACAGCTCCCCACATTTTCTCTTGTAGGTTCTCTGCATTTTTAAAATTAACGTCCCGAGCTCCTTGATCAGATGTTGAGCTTCAGAATCCCATCTTTGTATCACAGCAGCAGCAGCAGCACGTACTTCCTCCTCCCAACTAGTGGCGCCCACAGCGTCTAGTCGCCCCGGGGTCTTTGAACCCAGGTAGTTCCCCAGTCAGGGCATTTTTTATTAGGAAAAAAAAAATAATAAAGGCAACCCTCAAAATGCTGACTCAGTAGGCTAGATCTCAGTCATTCAAAGCTCTTTTCACACCTCCGTGCAGTAATGACGAGCCTCTGAATGAGCAGGCTTGGAAGTCACACTTGGGCTGCTGCTTTCTTTCTGTAGAGGATAATGCAAAGTAGGTTTGTATGTTTGAGCAGACTTGTTTGCTCTTGGAAGAAAACCAGTCACCTGAGCAATGTGTAATATAAAGAGTGGCTAATACCTACTCTTAACGGGGAGCTTGGTAGGCAAACTAAGCAAGATAAGCCATACCTATGTACTTCCTGAAATCTTTTGAGCAAGAAGTATTGCATGGGAATTTTAAAATAAAATACTTCAAAGTTCAGCAATTAGCCAAAAGTTGTAGTGTAGCCCGTCAAACATTTCAGAGCATGTGTATTTTATAGTGCTCCGATACATTTTTCAGATATTATCTACTTGGCTATAAAAGTCCAGGAAATGCCAACTTCTGCTTCGTAGGATGGTTTTGTTCGCTTGTTTTCTCATTCCAATAACTGCAAAGTCTCTCTCACCTAGAATTGCTCAGAGCAGTCAAGGAAAATATCAAGATATCTATCAGTGTGTCTTGAGATCAGCTTCCCAAAGGAAACCTTGGGAAATGTCTCTTTTTTTCCTAATAAGTTGCTAAATTGCCAGCAACCACCAGAGGCTGACTCCCACAGATGAGCTACTCTCTCCTGGCCAGGGAGATATTGTGGGTGGTAAGTGCCACAGCAGTGTGCCCCCCCCCCCCCCCCTGCGCCCTTCCCCTGCCCTTTTCTGGGAGAGTTGTAGCTGAAGAGTTAGAGCAAACTATTAGGCAAGCATGCAGTGCTTTCACAGCTAGGTAGCCTTTTTGTAGTCCCCTGCAACTTTACACCCGCCACCAATAATTCCTTTCCCTCGCAAGAAATACCACCACCTTGTCTAGGAACTGAGATGATACTAAAAGCAAAACCAAAACCCAAATCACTGCCATTGAACCGATGCGGACTCACAGCGACCCTAGAGGACAAGGTGGAGCTGTCTGTCCCCTCTGAGCTTTCCCAGACGGTAACTCTTTATGGGAATAGGAAGCCCATCTTTCTCCCAAGGAGCGTCTGGTGGTTTCGAACTGCTCACCTTGCTGTTAGCAGCTCAACAAGTTACTAAGGCGACACAGACGTTCTCTACTCTTGACTACAGCCTTGTGGTTGTAGAGTTGTGACTTTGTTCACGAGCCCCCGAGAGCACAGGACTCCACACCATGGGGCTGGGGTACGCTGGTTGTTGGGGGCTGCTTTGCCGTGGGCTTCCCTCCTGATGGACCGGCTCAGTACCGGCAGCGTCCCGTCTTCATGGTCTTTGGGCCGTTTGGTCCAAGACTGTGGCTGTGGCGCCAGTGCAACTCATGGATGTTTTCGCAAAGCCTCTATTTCAGCAAACTTGGTGTCCAAGTCTGCTGCCCAAGATCTCCTTAAAGTTTTTCGTGATTAGTGATGAGTTTCCTGATGATGGGTACCAAGTAAGTGAGCGCAGGTCTCTGTCCTTGCTTCTAAAGAACAACCTGGTCGTCTCTCTCTTAAGACGGATGTGCTTGTTTTTCTGGCAAGTAACTGTATTCCAAATTCTAATACACAATGGTCATCCTTTCCTGTCTCTCCCCGCCCCCTTTCGAACTTGGTGTTGTGAATTATGTGGGGCTCTTTGTTACACTTGATCTCAGCCAAAAGGCTGAGAAGCGATGTGGGGCTCTTTGCATAGCAGATTGCGTTTGCAAACAACCTGGCAAACTCCTCAATGGCTTGTCCTGTCCCTCCCCTCCCCCCTCTCCCACAACGTAGTATACCATCTCCCTTCCCCCTCCCACCCATCCCTCCCCACTCTCATAGCCATCAAAGTCCCTTTCTTTCAGTAGGAGAACTTTTTCTTGATTAAAAAAAAAAATTAAATAACACAGCTGTCATACGGTATTTATCCTTTAGTGTTTGCCTGACTTCCGTCAGCACAATGCCCTCCAAATCCTTCCATAGCACGAAGGGCTTCACATGTCCATCATTCTGCAATGTGCATCAATTCTTCTGTCTTCCTCTTTCTTAAAAAAATGTCTAGCTTTCTCATATGTACGAGGCACAGATGAGAAGACATGGTTTGGGTCAGGTGCACCTCAGTCCTTAAAGCGGCATCTTGGTGCTTTAAAACGTTAAAGAGATCTTGGGCAACAGACTTGGGCATTATTGGGTCTGGTGAGAAAACTGCGTTTTAATATGAAATGGCTACTTACCAAAGTATGTGATAAAGAAACGTATAGCTTTTGCCCTGAGTCATCCCAGGTGTGGGCTGGGGCTGTCCTGGGTCATTCACAGTTTGGGTAGGCGAACCCTGTAGCTCCCCTTCTCTGTTCAATGCTGGAGGTAAAATGAGTTCTGCAGTGTGAATGTGGACATCTCTAGGAAACCTCCTACCTGAGGGAGGCGGGGCCATGGCCCCGAGGGAAAAGGCTGTCAGGCTGCAGAGCAGGACTAGCTGTGGGGTGTGCAGACTGAGGCCACTCCTGGGCTTCAGCATCAACACCGACTCTGAGGGCGGCTAAGGCCGTGTTATTTTCATGATCCACTCCATGAAAAACTCCAACTTCCATTTTTTTAATTAATAAATCATTTTATTGGGGGCTCTTAGAGCTCTTATAACAATCCCTAAATCAAGCACATTTGTACATATGTTGTCATAATTTTCAAAACATTTTCTATTTGCTTGAGCCCTGGGAATCAGCTCTTCTTTTTTCCCTTTATCCCCCACCCTCCCACCTTGTGGACCCCTGATAAATGATAAATTATCATTATTTTCAGATCTTACACGGTCTGCTGTCTCCCTTCACCCACATTTCTGTTGTTCGTCCCCCTGGGCCAGGGGCAGGGGGGATGTTATACGCTGATCATTTCGATCAGTTCACCCTTTCTCTCTCCTCCTCCCCCTTTCTTCCCACTACCCTCATGGGGTCACTATTCTCATTACTGTTCCCTCATGAGGGGTTTATCTGTCCTGGATCCCATCTGTACCAGTGTACATGCTCGGGTCTAGCTGGATTTGTAAGGTGGAACTGGG